TTCTAAAGTATCATTTGAAAGAAAACAGTTGATTAATGCCCACAAGTGTCACATTTCTCACGGTTAATCTTGCTTAAAATTAGCTTATCTTTACATTGATAGCTTTGATTTATTCACATCTTTCCCTAACATCCACTGGCACTCAACATTTTTAAAATCCAGAAGAAGCTACAGGTCGACATGGCTTTCTTTTGGATCATAACCTTGTTTGTACTACAGTTTAACCATGGTAAGTTACTGCAGTAATATTTTTTCAATAAAAATAAATAATAAGTTCTGCGACACAATGCCTTCAACTTACAATGTAAAGAGAAGTTCAACGGCTGATTTTTCGAACAATCCAATTCATTCCATATGATGTTATAATTCTATGTTAAACAATTATTTTTTATCAACATTTTGAATGATTTTATCAGAAAAACAACAAACAATAAAAGCCATTAAAATCTTAAAAAATAAATTCACGATTTTCAGAAATTAAAGGAGCATTCTTACTGGACATGATTTGGCCGGTCTCTCTAAACTGCATCAAACTGATTCTCTTTTTTCCCAAAGCATATTTAAGATAAGATTTCGATTCAAGAAAGTTTTAATAAAAGAAAGCAATGGAAACAACTTTGAAAATTCTTTGCATCAGGCTGAAGAGTTTATTTACAAAATAACTGATTTAACACACTTGTTCTTAAAAAAAGACATGAACGAAATATCTCCCCTCTTCTCTCTAATATTACATTTCATTGAAATTTTTAAACTCTTTGAGAATGGCAACTGCTTAAACCATTTTAATGATTTGGAATGTGTTCAAATTAGCTCCGTGTCAGAGAACTTGCTCATTGTCTTACTTATTTATTTATTTTTCGCCTGCGTTCTACCTAATAGCATTTTCTAAAACAAATAAAGCCATTAGTTTACTAAAGCCACATAGATTCTTATAAACAAAAAACTATAATTCTTTGCGAAAATATCGGTATAATTATTTACGAAATTAAAAAGCAAATGTTTTAAAAAGGTTTAGATACCTCAATATTCGTCGTACTACCAACTTTGGCCATGTTTGCGAAATAAATGGATTACCATTACACATTTATATATTATAAGATATGTAAAGGTTAAATTTTGTCGCTTGTCTACATTTTAAAAACATTCAAATATTCTCTCAGGCTGCCCTAGTTTGTTTATCAAAACTAAGTAATATTTAAAAATTAAGCGCGTGTTTTGTTCTTTATGAGTGAGGAAGATTAGTTACAGAGTAACACAAATTTGAAATTACATTACGTTTATTTAGTTATACAGTGCAAAAAAGTAAACAATTTATGATATGAATTAAATAAATTAGACTAATACCACATAATTTAGTTTCTTATAACATCTAGAAAATTTGGTTAGTTTCAAACCAATTTTTGAGTTAAAATTATGAAGTCTTTATCTCTTATTGAAACAGCAAATTTAAAATGAAATTTTAATTTGGCTGCACATTAGCGAGTGCGACTTTAGACTATACATTTTTACTTAAAGCGACCCTGTTGTTTAACAGGTTGAATGCTATGGAGGGTCACCGGTGACCGGCACTGAGTTTGTTCGTAGCATTACGGGAATCAACCCAAATCAACCCAATTGAATAACCAAAAGCTTGTACTTAATTAGAAAGCTCTTGAATAATATATTATAAAACATTGAAAAAATTATCAGACCTCTGAACTTATTTGGCTTTTGTTGGAGATTTTTAAAAAATATTTGAATTAGTAATTTGATTTGAAATTACTTTGACTTCCAAAACATTTAAATAAAAGCATTTAATTTCAAGCGTTTTTATAAAAGAACTAAACGGCTTGCTGTATAACAAAATTTTAAAAACAACTACTTAATTTCAATTTCGCTACCACTATAAATATTGTAAAGAGCACTAACATCCAATATTGCAGCCCTGCAGTTCATTAAACCAGACCGGACTACTTACGTCTAAACGCAGCATTTTTTGATATTTTCAAGTGTTGATAGATAATTGAGTTTTAAAACATTACAGTTCAGCAATTTCAGATCAAAATATCCTAGTAATGGGTAATGATTTACAGAGATGCCAACTTGCTCCGCTTTGTGAAATAGTATTTTCTAGTGGTAGCGAAATTTAAGTTACTAGTGGGCTGCACCCCCTGCTCGCTAGCGCTCCCCAACCCCCGAAAATCGCTATGCAATCTTATATGGTTTGCTTCGCAAACCAAGCTCGCTTCGCACGCTACTAACTTAGGTACATTGCAAATGCACAAAATTCTAAGAATTCAAAACAATCATTCAAATCCAAATAAAAACTTTTTAAAAAAAAAAAATTACATATTTTTAGTAAATACTAAGTCATTAAAATAAATTTGAAATCAAATAAATGACATGTAATTCATTAAACCTATCAGAAATGTGCTATAGTATAATTCGTGATATAAATCAAAAATCGTCAAATAAATTCGTAATATATAAATTCGTGAAAAAAAGCGCTTTCGACAAAATACTAAAATAGAGATCTATCGACAAAGACTACTCACTTCTGCCTAGCTTAATAGTATGAGATTGCCGCAGCTGATGCTCTCTGGTTATTGCAGTTTCCGTTTTTAAAAGCGCTATATGTTGAGCCACCTCAGCTAGATTTCGCATGTGACATTTTTAGCTGCAATCATTGGTCGATTTTCTAGCATTGTCATTCGGGGAGTTGTAATGAGGCTTTTTTTGTCGCCGTGTAAGAGAAATAGTAACGTGAACAAAACAAAGCAAACATTGTCACCGGCGGAAAAGAAATACAGCCAAAATTTGGGAGCCACGTAAGAGAATTATATATATTAGATTTTTAGCTTCGTATTTTTCATTTTAAGTAATTTTTTCATCACTAAATATCAAAAATTTTAAGTATCATATAAAAATGCAACGTTAAACAATGGATATACATACCTGCCAGCTTTCACGCATTTGGCGTAAAATTTTATTTCTAAATTTAAAGTGGTAGTAAAATGTATGCTTTTTAAATATTCCTTGCATTTATAGACGTAATTTATTATCATTTTGACCACCGCTATTTTTCAAAAAATTAGGCATGTATATTAATATGTAATATTGACGTGGTAGTTCGCATAATCTTTTTCAAAATACAGCATTTGTTTCTGCCTAAAATTGTAATACAAGTTCTATTTTACTACCACTGGGGAAAATTATCCTCGAAAAGATTAAAAGTTGGCTGGTATGGATATACTGGTTACTCTTTTAAAAAGTAAGCCTAACTATCCTTATTTAACGAATTTTACAACATAATTCGCTACCACTTTATTAAAACTATTGCACAAAACGGAGCAGTTGGCATGTCTGGATTTATTATATGATAAACAATAATGTCTTCTTTTTTAATATACGAGTACATTTCTCGAATGAAATGTTATGAAATCGTTGTTTATTCTTGGGTAAAGTTAGAATTAGTGATAAGAGCATACCTGCCAACTTGCCAGGTCGTTGAAAAGGATTTAACAAAATGATAGTAAAGCATCAATTTAGTTTGGAAGAATTTTTAAAAACAAAACTATTAAGGCATTTATAAGCATATATTACTTACTTACTTTATTTAAAAACAACTGGGCACCTGGGCCGCGCAGCGGCCCCTATCCCATTCATCATGAAATTACAACAATGAGGTAAAAACATTTTGAATATAAGCAGTCGTTGTTGTAGCTTTACAATAATATTACCATGATAGATGATTAGAGAAAATACAAACTTGAACAGATATATTTACAGTAATTGCCATGAAAATATGTACAGAAAATATAACGTTGATTTGAAAAAATTACAACTTGAACAAAGATATTTACATTAATTGCCATAAATATGTACAGAAAATTGAATATGAGCATTAATAAATGATGATTATGTATATACAAAAGTCGTGATTCAAGAACGTGAAGATTTAACATAAATTTTCGACAAGCCTTAGTGGCGCCATCTAGTATGCTCAACTTTAATTTGAAAGGGCAGTATGCAGTATTTATTTATAATCTGTATGGGAAATTAGAGTTCTGAATAATAATAAGAGTTCAAATAAAAGTTCAAATCAAGTAAAAAAAAAATGTTACTGTGCAAGAGTGGCTTCCCCCATAATCCTTTGAAACAGTTGAAGCACTTCTTGATTTTTTAAAAGTTCTTGCAATTCTTTAATTATTGTAACCAGCCTTTGAGCAAGTCCTGTTATTGTTGGTGGTATGGCACGTGTTCCCCTCCTGCGGGGACGGGCTCTGCACCCCGTGTAGTTGGCTGTATGAGAGTCTCCGCAGTTGCTGCACTTAGGTTGTGTATTTTTATCTTTTTGGCACTCGTATGATCGGTGTTTGGCGGCGCACTTTACACATCTTGATGGTGAATTACATGATCTTTGACTGTGGCCAAATTCTTGGCAGTTGTAACACTGGATTGGATTTTGCCCGCCTCGGAACCTTTCAATACTGACCGGGATACTTTGTATATTGGTGATAGAGAAAATTTGTCGATTAACATCTGTTTCTGTGAGAATTGTAAGAAAAAGTGGGAGGAGCCTGTAGGTCCCGCACACTTTTCTCTTAAACTGAATTATCTTTTGCGTTATGATGTCTGACTTCGCCAGTTGCTGGGAGATATGATCAGTACAGAATCCAACTGGAAGACCACGAATAAGAACTTTTATATGCTTAATTGGTTGAACTTTTGCTGGAGTTGTGGGTGGATCTACAGTTGAACTGGAATCCTCCTTGGGTGGGGCTACGTCAGTATCAGATATAGATTCAGATGGTTGTAAGGAGGTGGCGGTATCTATCGGTGAAAAATGTTTACTATTTGTGGTCATGATTAGATTTGCTTCAGCTTTTTTGACATTATTTTTCTTTTTCTTCTTCTTCAAAGGGGGTTCTGCAATATTTTTGGTTGAGCTTTCTGAATCTCTGGTTGACTCATTCCCCGTCTGCTCCAAAAGTTGGCCGCCTTCATAAGTTTCCATATCAATGACATCAATTGGTGTTGTCGGTATTTCGGGCCTATTTGGCACAGGCATGAGAGACTGCTCCAAATGATTTAGTTTCTCAAGTAGTTCTTTATTTTTCCTTTCATCTTCTTTAATTCTCCTTCCCATGTCTGCTAACTTTTCAGCCATTTTGGTTTCAAAATCCGAGCATTCCTCATCCGTCGTTGAACCACGTGCACGTCTTTCGGTCAGCCGCTTTCCGCCACGTCCGTGTTGGTGATACGTAGCCATTGTTGCGTGATTGCGAATATTAACTTCAGCAGTGATGTTAACGTAAATTGAAAGCTACTATATCGGGCAGAATCATTTAACTTAACTTGCATCTACTTATACTCTTAAGTTAATTCAGAATTAGAAAAACATACATGATTGCAAGAGTATGAAATAGGTATTACTCACTCAAAAGACACCAATGAAAATCCGAAAGCTCTACGACCTCCTAAAAGCATAAATTGTTCTTCCACATCACGTCAGAGCATCAAATTGACTCGCACCCACTCGATCTATTCGCCAGAGTCGACTGGCATAACTTCAGCCATGTCCTCATCCTTATAAGCATATATAGCCAACTAATAGTTCTTATTTACATATTTTTTTAAATAATTCGTGGTAGTTTAAAAATATTTTTAAACTTTATACTTCAAGATTTAATACGTCAAAACGCTAACGTTGCACCCACTAAAAGAATTATTTCTCAACGGCAGTACAAGTTATTACGGCAGTAAATTTAATTATTTAAAAACAATGAGTAAAAAACATTTTGAGTTAAGCAACATTATGGTTTATTACGAAACAGCATAGCTTCCAAGTTGTATGGTTGTTGAGAAATAATTTTTTTAGTGGTTGAAACATTAGGGTTTTGGCCCTATTAAATCTTGAAGTTTAAAGTTTCAAAAAAAAAATTTAAACTACCCCCACGAATCAATAATTTAAAATATGTAAATAAAATTTATTTGCTGGTTATTAATGCTTATACACGTCTTAATAGTTTTATTTATAGAAAATTCTTCCAAACTTGATTGTTGTTTTTCTACCACTTTGTAAAATCCTTTTCAACGACCGTACAAGTTGGCAGGTATGAATTGGGTAATGGTAAATAAAATAAGGTAAAGTATTATTTGACCCACCTTCGATCAAATCTGTAATACTGTTCAGATACCACTTTTTTTCTTTTTCATATCCTGATTATAGTCCCTTACCAGCTTGATTCACTGAAACCATTTCTATAAAACATTTTGATTTAATTTACTTTACTCAAAAGTAATTGTATTTTATTATTTTTTTATAGAAGTGTTTGCAAACAATCAAATGGAAAATGAAGGTAATAATAATTCTAATTATTGTACTTTTTTAATAAAAAATAAACAAATACATTGAATGTGTGACTTATATATATTTCAGGTTTGTTTGAGGGAGATATTGCTGGCATTGACCCTTACGCATTAACGGTATGTTTATCTTGTCTACACAATCTATAAGTTTAGAATAAAGCAAAGAATTCAGCAGCGGTATAGGTTCATTGTGTACTTAATACGTTAAACATCACTGAAGTGCAGTTCTAAAAAAACGGATCACCCTGAATAAATTTTGATCTAATGATCGTATTTTCACGTTTTAGGACTTAATCTTAAACACTAAGCATATTCTTTACGTAACAAAGTCAATGACATCGGGATCCAAGCGTCTGAGTACATTACGATGTAACATTTTAGGTATTTCTTCGCGTTCAGATAACTAATCGATAAAGTGGTTTTTAAAAATCTAAATTCGTGCAACGTCAATTTAATACCACTGTTGACTTCTAATATCTTTTCAACAAACTCAAAAAATGTGCAAAGTTATTTAGGCAAATGAACGCCATCACTTTAACTTATTTGAATCCATTAGTTTATTCATTAAGAAACGAACAATTTTAATAATTTAAGTCTGAAACACGAAATGAAATGCTGTGTCAGTTTTCTTAGACGCAGTTTTAGCGGAGTCCATTTTTTATACACGCATTTTAAGCAGTATCCATTTTCCTGAACACGCGTTTCCAACTGTATTTATTTTCTTAAACACGCATTCCGCCGAGCTGCTTACAAAATAAAAAGCTTACCGACGATATGAAAGACATAGTAAGCGCGTTGTTTTAAATGGTGAAATTTTAAAGAAAGTGTGTTGGCGAAATTTCATAACATTACGGTTGTTTCACAACCGATTTTGAGTCAGAAATTCCGAGCTTTGCAAGTGCTTACTATAGAATTTTACTTTTATGAAATAAAACAAAGTTTTGTAGGTGGGTTCTTTCTGTTTAGAAGTAACTATTATGCATTCATAATTAGAAATGAATTTTATTATAATTTTAGTTTCATAAATTAGCATTTATCACAATTGAAATATTCATGAAGAAATATTTTGTGATATGTTAATCAAATACTTTCTCCTAAATATACATATAATCTATGGTACTGTTTAAAAATAATATTAATAAAGCAAAATAATTTTTTTAGAAGAGTGCTGTGAATAATAAAGATAAAAATGTTCTATTCTATGAAGTCTAATGGAAAATCTATTGTTTAAGCGTCTTATTTCAGAATAAAAACGTAGAGCAATATAGCAAAGGTCATCTTTAGAAAATATATTTAAGCAAATTTTTAAATAACAATAAAGTAATATTGAAACCATAAAACTGATCCCATTGATATGGCATGCTTTTTATAGGCGCTTTTGTTGCTGAACAAGGAAAAATGTTGAAATTATTTCTGTTCAATTCTTCCGCTAAAACGCCATATAAAAGAAAAATGACAAATTATTGAAACAGGTTTGTCGTCGAGGTATAATAAATTCATTTTATTCAGTCAAATAATAATAGTTATATCTCCCTTTTTCCATTGTTGTTCAAATCCATCAATGTGATTCGGAAAATTTCCAAATCTAATGTCATTTTTTTAATAAAAACTAACTAGTATTTTCATTTCAATTCTATGATAGAATATTTACCTAGTATATTCTATTTATGAATCAGTTTGGTACCGCGAGACACATTTTGTTATCTATTTATTATTCTTATTCATGTAGTTGTTAATAATATTTCTCAATGTTAATAATGGTTATTTCTAAACTCCAACAGATGGTGCTCTGTGTACTAATGAAAAAGGATTATTTGTATCCAGTTTCATTTCACTCTGCGATGAACATCATTCCTTGTTTTTTGTTATTAAATATACTTTGATGAAAGCGTGGGCGACTCTGTTCCACCGCCGTGGCTTAGCCATAGGTGCCCACTGGGTAATGATAAGAGAGTAGCAATTCTGGCATTTCTGAGGCTAATGGGAAATAGACCCAAGTACACGCCTTTAACCAAAAAAAAACTTTGATGAAAGCTTTTGTTATGCTTTAAAACCCCGTGATCATCGTACTTAACATATGTAAAAGCAGTTAAATAATTATTTATTTAAAATTTAACTTATTATTTTTAATTTTATGGTTTGCGAGACAGTTTTGTTACTTTATTATCTTTAACTAATCAAGTTTTTCAGAGTACCTATCCAGAAATGGATATCTGTTTTTTCTAACAAATATAATCATCATCATCATCAACATTTATCTGGGCACCTGGGGCCGTTAGCGGCCTTTTTCGCATTCGTCTTGAATTTTGATCTTTGGGGTGGTTCTTTCTGGTAATTGGATTGCAATTGAAGTAAAAGGAAATTAAATATTTTGAATTTTAGATAAAATTACGTCACTACAAAAATGAGCTGCCGTCGGTCTGAGGTTTATGTCTTCTCTTAAGTTTTCAAAAGTAAAAATTTCGTTGAATCCTGCGGTGTCACAATTAATGGTTTTTTCAAAAAATCTGAAATTTAACTTTGCTATGTGATGATCTAAAGAATCTATGTTGAGGTCGCGATGTATGTTTTTATTTCTGATAAACCATCTTGCTTTTGTTATTTTCCTGAGGATTTTGTTCTGGCATGTTTTGAGTTTTTTAAGGAGTGATGTGGTGATGTTGCACCAAGCTGGAGATGCATAAGTCAGGATGGGACGGATCATTGAGA